CTGCGGAAGGGATCGAATATGACATTCAATGGGGTCATGGTAGTTTGAAGTCAGAGGTCAACTGCCAGTTAATAGACTTTTTGCCGTATGAGTATACGTTGCCCAGGGTGCACCACGTGGGGGTAAGTCTATCGCACACCCATCTTGCAATCAAAATGAGTTAAAATCAAGCCCTCAACTACATACAAATTAGACCAATGAAGAGTCGATCAGACGGACATGGAACAAATAGGCGCATGTTCTCATCACTTGTAATCTTTATGCTTCTCCGTCACTATTTCCATCTTGCCTGCTGCCAACAGACCCCACCCTTTCATATTTACTTGTTTTATAAGTATGGATGGCTCCAATGAAGTTCTACTTTGTCCACAGTTTCCACAGCATAATCTTTCTTATGTCCCACATTACTTTGATAGTCTCACAACTGTTCAGTATCATTACTTAGTGTAATCAAGGTAACTAACATTGTTTAAGGAAAAAATGTTTTTTTCTCTGGTTCTTTTTAAATCTAACTGTTCTTTATATCGTTTGTGCACAATTGCATGTAAATACCCACTTCCAATCACAGTCATTTGTCAGCTTGCGTCTTAAGTGTATTTGGCACCTAATTAATTATTGAACTTAACATTTTTCTAAAAAATTTAATTAAAAACTTTCAATCAATTTATCTGGGTAATTGCTTGTGATTCCTCAACAGAAAACAACTCCTTAAGCTCAATCGATTGCCGCAAATTTCTTTAAACCGTTCAAATTATTTAATTTCCTTTGAGGAACAATCATGAAAGAAGTCCGATGTATTCGGGCTGCCGCATCCACACGAAGATACTTTTCGCCTTTCCATAATCGCCTATGATTTAGAGTAGATTTCAAGACCATAAGGTGGAAATAGCATGTAGGTCCAAAATCTGCCCATAATTGGAGGGCCGGAGCTATGTTTGTGAACAGGAATTTCATAATGCCTTAGGTAGCCTGCTAAAACCGTGCTTTTTGAAGAGCTCAATTCATGAAATTAAGGTTAGAATTGTAAATTTTATTAACAACAGTGATCTTAACAACGAAAAAAAAATTAATAAAAATCTTGAATTGTTAGAGACCTATCAAATATAGCTGGTATGGTAAATCTTTAAACTTAATGAAACCTAAATAGTCATTTTATGGGAATTCTTTCATTGCTCATAAAAGGTAACACAGATGGCTGTTAAGTGTTTGCCAACTAATCTCAAAACGAAATCAGTTCCATCTTTTTATTTCAGTTACATTAAACTACTCACCACTTTACTCCCAGAATTCATTCATTTAAAATTAAAGCGATGAAAATTAACGGGCATAGTTGTTCAGGTGACTCAGGTGGTTATTATGGGTTTTATGAAGAAATGGCATTTCAGGAAGGGCGTTTCACAAATTAAAAAGAACCAATATTGATGTACTTCATTAATTAAATAAGTCAAGCGAAGTTCCCTTCAATTAGATTAGCTCAATTTTTAGAAAATTGAGTCAATGATTTGACTGGTTATTTCTCATTATCTATAGCCATCATTAAAAAAGCTTGAAAAAGCAAGAACTTTGGAAAAATACCCTTTTGTTATCTGATGATGATCAATTTGCCTCAGTTCTCTACCTTCGACCTTTCCCACTGACTCCTCTTTCTTGTCGGTATTTTTCGGTTATAGAACTTCGTCCACACGACTTTCTTTCCTGTATTCATGGCCATGAGAGACGTTTCTTACTATCTCTATTCTCTCCTGTCTGAACTAAAATTCTTAAAATATATAAGAGTAATAGCTTAGTAGGGTTTCTTTATCCTTTTTCCTGTAGTTGTTAACAAGAGAGGTATATTCGTTAAGACGAATTTTAACCAATGGGTTTGTTTCACCAGCTTGTTATTGCATTGGGACTGCGTAAAAACTATCCCGGTAATGAGGATAACTGTATGAATCGTTTGGTTGATCTCAATATTTACAAAATGAGCAATACACTTGTTTAATTAATTTCATTAAAAAGGAATGATTGTTCTATTTAATGAAGGCTCTTTCTAATTCCCAAAAAATTCTTTTAATTTGGTATACATTTTTAGTTGTATCGGGACAAATTCTTAAATTCAGATGGATATTTGGAAGCGTTGATTTTGACCTAATTTAAGTTTTCTCTTTACCATAACAGAGAACGAATAAATTGTTCTTTTGACTTCAGAAGTTGGTCCTAATTAGGAGGACGGCACGGACTATTAATAAGTGTTGACAATTGGAAATTACTCAAATCAGCTTTAAAATATGATGAATATGGTCCATTTAAAATCGGCTCAGGTAGTTCCTTTGAATGTGAGTCAGTTTTGAAAATGATCGGTTCAGTTGAAAGAGTCATTTTAGTTTGCGAGTCGTCCTCATTTTGAAGTGTTCTGGTTGATTATAAACTTGCGAATTTTTAAGAGACTATTACTTTAATGGAAAATTTTAAATAACATAAACTGTTGCTTTAGCTCAAGTGCACTGTGAGTGAATTGATTAACACACTCTAAGTCAACGCTAATGTATGTCTAAGCGTACTCCCAAAGGCTAGCGATAAAAGGGAGCCGTAAACCGATTTTCACACTGTTGAGATGAGTGTTAAAAACACTATCCGAATAGAACTGGAAGCTATTAATCTCAGGCCTCTTTCAATCTACCTAGGGTGACATTTAATTAATTGAAAAATTGGCCATCCTGGTCACTGTGGTAATTACGTTTCAAGAAGCCAAACTGGTTAACTAAAATTTTACCGATTGCAAATCTCAACTGCTCAATATCTGCTTGCTAATCTATATATTCTGCTGATTAACAAATTACAATTGTTCTTTATTAATGAGAAGGCAAAAGATTCCTAAAATTTGTTTCATCTAAAAGTAGAAATTCTCTCTCTCCCTCTCTCTCTCTCTCAGATAATTCAGGAGATAAAATGTCTAATTACAAATTGATGCTCAAAATTAAAATTTGTTTTTTAACTTTCATTTTTAAAATTTCTAGATTTTGCCTCCTTCACATTGCATCTAAGTTAAAATTTAAGTTCTTAAATTAAATTAAGTAACTCTTCGACTGAAATTTAATGAATTACATTTTTCCAACAAATAAAACTGTTGACACGGAGATATTGCAATTATAAGTCTCCTGAATTCGCGTGGAGAAATCGCAACTTTCTGCCCATTACCTGTCACAGTCATGCACACCAGTCATGACATATTCATTCTCATTTACTATTTGCTGTGAAAATACCACTGTAAATCGTGAAATTGTTTCTGTACATAATGGCACAAATGATATACAGGCTTGTCTGCAATGAACAAAGTGCTTTAAATGTTTGCAGATTTCAACGTTGCTTTTCTTTTTGTTTACAGAGAGATCCCACTGTCGCCGACCCGGACGATCCCCGACTACTTCTAGCTCACAAATCAGATTCCCTCTCTCGGAAACGAACCTCTTCAACTGACTCACCTCCCCATAGAAATAGATTCACAAACCGACTAGGTGATTGCATTCCTTCTAATCGAGCATCCAATGGATGTCAACCCTCGACGCAAGCTTCACCAATACCTCCTCTACAACAGCAAGCTTCGGTGAATGGTGTGAGTTCATCAAGTGTTCTCCTGCACAATGCTTACTACCCAGTCAATTCTCACACTACCGCTACAGCAGCATCTGCGGCTTCTAATGCTGCTGGTGTAAAGAATTGGTCTCAAGCTAGATCTCCACCCCCGTCACATGTCCTCATCTCCACTGGAGCTAAACCAAGGGCGGGTGGGACCCCGGGTGTTATTGCTTCACCCCTCCAACCTGGTGCAAGCCTCACACGACCTCCGCTTAAGCGAGAACTCCTTATAAGTGGAGATCAAATGAATGGAAACAAAGGTGCCAGTGGAAAATGTTGTATTGTAATGTAGATAGGATATGTATTGGAAATCGGTGTTGGTTCTGTTGCGCGTGTCATGCAATCATTCAAAAATAAGAAAACTCTGTGATTGTGTAGTTCTCCCGTCCTCTTTCGCCTTCTCGCTTACTTTATTCCATACTTTCGTTTTAGTCTTCTGTTGTCTGAAAACAGAAGAGGCTGGACTGTGCTTAAAACTTGTACAAATTTTGCACTATCAAATGGCTTTCTCTCCTCCGTTGAAATCTTTCTTGTTCTTTTTTCTCCTCCCCCCCCCACCCCC